CGGGGCCGCGCTCGGCCGGCCGGCGGTGGCTCGGGGGCCAGAGGTCAGGGCGGGCGCCGGAGGAGCCGCGTCCCGCGCTCCGCTCGCGGGAAGGAGACACGTTCTGTTTTACATGTAGGCCTTCTTGGAAGTGCAGTCGCTGGGAAACGGATGTTGCTGTGATGCAACAACGGCAACTAGTGCGCTCTGAAAGCGGTTACCCCTTGTCAAATATTCTCTCTCCGTTGATTCCCGACAGGAAATGTAAAATCCCACATCCCCAAATCTTAGGAGGTCAGAGCAGAGATTAAGGAAACGGACTGTGTTAGGTACTGCCATCCTCATAGCGCATCTGCCCTTCCTCACACACCTTCTGAGATGCCAGCAGCAACATAATTGTGCAACGGTTGAATTTTGCACAACTAGCGGAAATTTTAAATTGTGAAATACTGAAAAGCTGCTCTTTGATAGATATAATCAATCTCCGACTTGACCTCATGGAAGGTGAGAACCTGCTTGTTTGCAATGCCTGAAATGCCTGCAATTTTAAAGTTTATTTTAATGTATTGGCCTAGAAATGCCAATTGGCCTTGATGCCAATTCTGATGATTGCCAGAGCCAATGAGAGCAAAATAACACTTCCATTACTAAGGCAGATAATGGCTAATGCAAAGGTGATATTAAAACGTGCACTAACATATTTTACTAAACCAGGAGTTCTCTTATTTCAAAAGGACCGTTTTCCCCAAAATGTTCAAGGGTTCCTTCCTCTTAATGCAATTTTAAAAATGACTACCAAAATCAAACAGTTAAATATGAAAATTATTCATTCCCTCAAAATAATGTGAAGCCAGCACTACAGTATGTTGCGTAAATGTGCACATATACAATTTTTAATACTTAACTTACAATGCAATATGGGGAAGGCTGTTTTCTTAAGTTATTTGTATTTCCTTAAACTTCTAGACTCTATTAAGCAGTTTCCTATTTCCACAGATTCAACATTAACTTGGAATTCTTATGTCCGGTAATAACTTGCGCATGAATAATTTGTGCATTTACAGGTTTATGAAGTAGCTGCTAAGTGAAAGGACATTACCTGGTAATTTGACAGGAAAAGAGTCCACAGACAGTCTGTAAACCAATTAAACATAAACATCTGATGCACATTTTCTACTGAAAGAAAAGCAAGAGAAAGAAGAGAAAGGAAAACTTTAAGCTTCCCAAATCTACAAACAATTTTTACCATTAACTGTACTGTACAGTATTTTCATCTTATTTTTTAGACTGCTTATATAAAAGTGTTTTTCAGGATTCCTTGCGGGAATAAATATTTTAGCATAGGTATATAGTTTCTAAGAGTTACCCTGTTGAATTACTTTAGTCCTTTGGACTCAATATAAAAATGACTTTTTAACAAGTCAGTTCGTATTCAAATTGTTTTCACTTTGAGATGCTTGATGGAAACAGCTGAAGGCAAAGAACAATGGATGTGCATAGACCTGAGGTGGGTAAAGATAAAAAGAATAAGGGGCCTAGAGGTAGAAACTCAGGCTTTATAATACCATGGCGATGAAGGAGGATTTTCCATTTAAATATGAAAGCTAATATATGAAATTTAGGTGGTTACCAAAAAGAAAATTAAAAAGTGTTGTCAAAATGCAAGGTACAGGAATAACTAGCCTGCTTAAGCCCATTTAATCTTTGATTCTTCAGTTAAACCATCAACAAAAATCCCAGTTGTGATAAAAAGCTGGGGATCACAGTCCTTTTTAAGCTACTAAATGAATTCTGAAATTGTTAGGAAAATTGAGGTCTGAGACATATTTGAATGGGTATCCATCTTACTGATAAATTATTTTTAAGGTTAATATTAAGTATCAATTTTACTTGGTAGCATCATCATTTAGGGGAAAAAATTCCCTCCATTTTCTCCTTCCCTTTTTTATAAATGTGGGTTCAGTGGGGTTTTTTTAGGTTCAGATATTCTAAAGGTGAAGAGAAACAGCTCCAATATTCTAAGTCATCAGTAACACATTACTAGTAAATTCAGTATAGTTCTACTCTCATTTTATTCTAGTGATATATTTATCTTCAAAAATTTTAGGAGCCACCTTAAGGAAAGTGAAGTCTTTCTCAAAACTCTTGCTTACCTCTTCAGTATCAAATATGTAAAAATTAACTATTCATTAGCCATAGAATCTTAGTGTTGGACGGGACCTTGGAGGTCTTTAGTCAATTTCTGCCCTGTCTAGGTAGGAATCCCTCATGGTGTTTACCCACTACCAGGCTTGTCCACCTATGCTCAAACATCTCCAGTGACTCACTGTCTCATGAACAGGCTGCTCTTTTCAAAATAAGCTCTAATGTTTGGAACATTTTTCTTTTTATTAAACCAGAATCTACTTCCTTGTTACTTCTATTTATTTCCCTGAGTTCTTCAGCACTTTGGATTAATTCAACAGATGTCTTCTTTGTATTCAAATGCAAACAGTCAATATTTATACTTGGGTTGACAAAAAATAAATCTTGAAAGCCTGTACTAGAAGAGCTGAAAACAGGACATGACAGAGTTAAAGGCATGAGGAAATTCACCATCACCTATGAGCTGTTTAAAATTATCACAGTTTATAGTACTTATTAATGTGATACCCAAAATGGTAGTTCTGTTAGAACTATGTAGCAAAATGTTTAAAGTTAAACTTAAAAAGTGTGGTTAATTCCAATTTTATGTGAAGCTTATGGCTAATGTCCCAAAACAAAAATAATCACTATACAAAGCCTGAATAAATGCCTCTTTAGCTCCCACTGCCCACCTAAAAGATTCCTTATTTTCAGGCAAACTCACATTAACTTTTACCACATTAAGCTACTCAAAACTGCTGTTATATTGGCAAATTATTTTTAAGCAATTTACTGAATGCTCCATTAAAAAGTTATTAAACAATTTTATAGAGGCTATAAACATACACACACACCCCCCCTCAGAATTATTATTTTGCTATTAACAAAAACATTTTAAGGTCACAATTTTACTTCAATCAGTACCTTAAACTAACTAATAAATAAACTTCTTTGGAAATTTATATACCTAAGAAATATAACTGTTTATTCAGTACCAACCTGATTCAAATGCAAGTAATATATACCTATACTATATAAACATATCTGTTATGCAGCTCAAAAAGATACCTCTCAAAATGTACCAAAAAAATACTTATAACAATTTTGACCCTGGGGCTGTCTGAATGAAATAGATTAATACAGCACATTCAAAACCCTAAAACCAAATTCTATATCTAACAATTTTCAGAGTCCATGAATCCTTTTTGACATTATTTTGTAAACTATTTCCTAAAATTTTTATTTAAAAGTGACAGCCTACACATGATGTGGAGGTAAAAATTTATGGATAACTACTAATTCGGTTGAAAATACCTCAATACCAAAAAAACTTCACCTATTTTTAAAAACGACATTTTAGATAAATTGAGAGTTTACCTTTAGTAGGCAGAAAGCAGGTTACAGAGCAGTAATGTGTTACATTTGGAAGCTCCACATCTACGCGACAATCAGCATCATCATTTTTGTGTTAGTTTGATTTTTATTAACGCCACCCTAAAACACTTATATAGCCTTTTGGTATCTCTTTTAATAATTTTTACATAAAGCATTTCATCCAGTGGCCCCATTTTATCAGATTATCACAAACTGATATTCTTATGGTTCTTATATTGTTGATGTTATTTTTATCTCACCCAAACTCTGGCAATTATTGGCCCATCAGCAGTTCTCAAACACTGGAACATATAAGAAGAGTAATATCATATTTATATTACTTGAGGGAGTTTGGCTTTTCCCTCCCTTCATCTCCAAGTGTGCCCCTGCCTACCAGCATCACATCCGTCTTGTCTGCATTGAACCTCAACCAGTTGGTTCTTAACCACGTCCGAAACTCAGCCAGGCACTGGGAGAATCGAGCCACCACACCATCTGGATCAAAGGAAAGAGAGCCTCGGTAGTAAGGAGCCCAGAGACGATGATGCCACAGCTCACCATGCACCCTGTCGCTGATTTTTAAAAACATGGCCAGTAATTAGGACAAGGATCCCATGACAATTTTAGAAAGACATTAATGAGCCTTGAGCAATGGAATTTGTAACCGATGGTAAAGGAATAAAAGCGACCCAATAGACAGGTCGCCTCATCGAAGAAAGAAGGTTCAGTCAACCCAGGGTCGTCTCGGCTAAGAGGCCCCCGCGGACGGGCCAGTCTTGTACCTGCATAAGCTTTTCTGCAAGATCAGGAGTGCACCTTTAGGGATAACTGGGGCTCGCAGGAGCAGTGACTCGCCCAAGGTCACGCAGCAAGCAAAGACCAGAGATGGGCTCCAGGCCAGAGATCTTTCCACTAAAAGCTGGAAGAACAAGGCCACTCAAAGGCGGGGGAGGCATCTGTCCCCAGGGATCCTCCCACGGGCTGGGAGGACCTCGCTCCCTCACAATAACGCCCTCTTCCACTCTCCCTTCCCTCCCTCGCTCCCTCCGAAACGGGCCGGCTTGCCCAGGACCCTGCTCACCACGGGCTGGGACAGAACCCGAAAAACAGGGGAAAGAGGCGGAGCCACAGGGGGCCGGCCAGCTTAGCCCCGCCGCCCGGGTCCGGGCCGGCAGGAGACAGGGCGGAGGCCGACAGGGCGAGGCGAGCCGACTCCGCAGCGGACGCCCAGCGCGCCGCCGCCGCAGAGCCGGGACCGGGCGGGCGGCGGAGGGAGCTGCGCATGCGCCGCGGGCGGCCGGCGCCACCGAGGGCGGGGGAGGGAGCAGGGAGCGTTCTCTCAGCCCCTCCCCGGAAATCGAGGGTCTTCCGGGCGGTGCTCCGCGGTGGGGGAGGGGAGGGGAAAAAGGGGACCGAGGACAGCGCGGGAGCCCCTGGGCCCGGGCAGGACCGAGAGAGGAGACACGGTGTGTGGAGGCTGCACTTACAGCCGCTGCCGCCGCTGCCGCCGCCGCCGCCTCCGCTGCTGCCGCCGCCGCCTGAGGAAGCCCCATCCATCCGCCTGCAGCCGGGAGACTCGGAGCCTGGGAGGGGCCTGGGCCCGCCGCCGCCGCCTCCTCGCGCCGCTGTCCGCAGCTTCCTCCCGCTCCGCCAACCCTCGGCCCGCCCCGCCGCCTCCGCCCTCCTCCCGGCCGCCCGCCTCAGCCAACCGCGCGGCCGCTTGTTGAGCCGCTCCGCCGTCGCCATGGCGCCCGGCGAGCATCCCCGCGCCGCCAACGCCGGGGATCGGGGTGCGGGCTCCGGAGACAGCCGGCGGCGGGGCGGCCGGCCCACCCCCGCCCGGCGCCGCCATGCCCGTCTCCCCGGCCGGCAGCCGCAGTCGGCCGAACCTCGGGCAGTAAGTGCAGCGCTCACGCCTTAGTCCGTCCCGCGGCCCCGGGGAGCCTCTTAGGGCCTCTCCTCCTGCGTCTGGGTCCAGTCTGCAGCCCTCGAAACTCCCAGGCGGCAGTGCCGCCTCCCGCGGCGCACACGGCCTTTTTCAGCCCCGGCTGCTGTGCCCGCGCTCTGAGGAAAGACCTAGTGCCTGTAGAACCTCCCTTCCTCCTAGCTCTCCTCTTCCTTTCGGGCTGCAGTCTCAGCCTGTTCCTCCGCGCTGTGCCCAGATGCTCAGTCCTCTCGGCTCACAACGTCACTGTGCTTTGCAGTCGAGGTGTTTTCTGCCCCCTCCTCGCACCCTCCTGCCTCAAACTCACTCCTGCCTACCACGTCCCCCTGTCCTGCAGCAGCTGAGCGAGAGGCTGGGGAAGAGCGCACAGCTCCGCGGACTTGTCTCGCTTATGGCTTCAAATGGTCCCGGAGTGCTGCCAGCAGCTCCTCTAGTTCCGATTCATTCACGCCCGCACTTCCAGACCACTTTTGTTCTCTTCTCAGACCTTCAACATCCTTCCGATCTTCTCCAGCTCAGCTAACCTTTCTGTAGCAGAACTGTTGAAAGTTGGTGAGAGAGAACCTTCCATTCTCTCTCGGATATGGTACTCAGATTTTTGTCTATCCTTGCACTCCGCCAAAGTAGCCTTTGTGAGGGTCAGCGGTAGCCGTCCAGCCAAATGCAATGGCCGTTTCTCAGTTTTGTTCGTAAGTCGCCCATCAGCAGCTCTGATCTACTTTATCACTTCTTGAGTTTTGAATCTCTTCATTTGGTTTCTGGCACACCACTCCTCCCCAGTTCTCCCCTTGGTTTGTGGCTACTCTTGCAAAATAGTGCTTTGCTGGTACCTCCCCATCTCTCACATATCTAAATATTGGAGTGTTGCTGGGTCAGTCTTTAAATCTCTTCTCTTCACTATGTAAAGTGAAGTATACAGTAAAAACCACCTGTATACTGATGATTCACCAGTTTATGTCTCTAGCCAACACCTCTCCCAAGAAAACATGCTTAAAAAAACCAAACATCTGCACTTAGAAGTCAATAGGCATCTCAAAATTCATATCCAACACTGGACTTCTACGCTGCAGTCTTTCCCATTTCAGTAAAAGGCAATATCCACCCTTCCACTTACTCAGTAAAAAATCTTGGAGTTACTCTTGACTTCTCTAATACCCGGCTCCATCAGCGGATTCTACCTGCAAAATATATGCAGACTACCACTCAAATGTAAGTCGCTGTCACAATGCAGTAACCGCCGAGATGGTCTTGCCAACACCTTCAACATAGTAATCACTGTGGCTCTTCTCAAAACCCTCCTCCAATTTTTCCCATTTCACTCAGTAAAAGCTCACATTCTCACAGGGCCCCGCAGGACCTCACCTTGGACTTTTCCCCTTGGCTAATTACACTCTGTTGTTCCACAACAATGTCAGGCACATTATTTTCCCACTTCAAGACCTGTGCATTTGCTGTTCTTTGGAATATTATACCCTCAGATAATCTCATGATGCACTCATTTCAGATGTCACCTTATCAAAAAGTCCTCTAACCACCGTATGTAAAATAATAAGACTTACTCCTCCCAGCGCTTCCAATTCCTCGGCCTTGCTTTATTTTTCTCCATAAAATTTATCCCTATTTGATATATTATATACCTTTTGTTAATCTGTCTTCACCCAACTTATGGTACTCCATGAGGGCAGAGATTTTTGTTTTGTTCACTGCTATTGCCTAGAATGAAGAAGGCACTCTAAGTATTTGCTGGCCGAACGAATGAGTGAATGAGTATGTACATCGGTAATATTGGTTGCTGCTCATCTTGTCTGATTTTTGTTTTTACTTTTAGGTATGGAAATCTCAGAGTAAAATTAAGTTGAATTCATGTAAATTTAAAAAATCATCCAATTCTCAAGTTTAGGATTGGCTTGTTTGAATAGTTTCAAAAGGCTCTGGGCATAGGGACTGTCCGTAGTTGTCTGGTTCCTATCCCTGGGGCGATTAGGGCAAGCAGATGGTGGCCTAGAGAGTGAGATCTCTATGAGAGCCAATAAAGGAGGTGGTTAGGGGTATGGGCTCTGGATGGGTTGGTTTGCATATGAAAAGTGTGCCTGTGGACAAGTACCTTACTATGTATAGGATTGATTAGCCCTGGGAGGGGCAATCCCTCTAGGATCAGCAACTCTCTAGATATCAAAGCATCAAAATATAGAAAATAAAAAGCCATGCTTAATACCTGCTCTATCTTGCATTTGTTTTATTTCTATATTTGCCACCCCGGGTTGAGCCTTGATTACTTCTCTCCTGGACTATTTTCATAACATCTTAATTAATGGTCTTCTTGTTTCTAGTGTGTTCTATGTTCAACTAAATTTTTCTGAAGCATAGTTTTGATCACTTTACTCTTCTGCTCAAAAACCTTGCTTGTGTAATAAATTCCAAAGACTTAGCCTGGCTATTTTATTTTTTCAAAGCTGAGCTTTGTTTTCCTTCCTGTATCTAAGTGAATCATTTAGGATTCCCTGTGTATCCCACATGCTTTTCTACCTTCGTTGTTCATAGTGGTCTTTGCTCAGGGTGCATTTTCTGTTCTGCCCCAATACCGCTGTCCCCCCCTCACCTCCACCTGCACCAGACACAAACACATACATACACACACACCCCATACACTTGTTTTGCGTTCAGCTTACATTCAAGGCCTAACTCACATGTCACCTTCATCATTTCTCTGCTCACTCCTTTCCCCCAAAGTAACCTTTACCACAATCCATTTCATCTTAACGTGTACCTGTTTTGAGGCAAATACAATTTTGTACTTGCATTATAGTCATATGCATGTTAATCTCTTTTGTTAGATTGTAAGCTCCTTAGGGCCCATGTCTGATTCATGTTGTATCCCTGCCAGCAGGTAGCACAGAGCCTTATGTATATGAGTGTTTTGCAGATAACTGTTGAATGAATGAAAGAAATTGATTTGGTTTAGATTGGAATTACCTTCATCCCATTTAATTACCTTCATCCCATCCCGTTTCTAATACAGAAACTTTTTCTTAAGCCATTCCTACTTTTTATCTTATGGTTGTTTCATAGTGAGATTTATGTATATGTAGCATGCTTTTAATATCATTTGCTTCTTTTTTCGTAGAAGGGATCATCAGGTGTTCATTTCATAGATAGCCATTGAATACCTTATATTTTCCAGTTGCTGCCCTAGATACTGACGATACAGGGGAGAACAGGACAAATTAGGTCCTTGCTTCAGGAAACTCAAGAATATACAGCTGCATGACCTCTTGTATCATAACTCTGTTTTTCAGGCAAAACTTTCAAAGTGGTTATCTCCTCCTGAAAGTCATCCTGTTTATTGTCTGCTAATTTGTCTCTGTTGAAAACATCAGTTTTCTAACGTAGCTAGATATGTACCATAAATTTCTAACGTAATTGTCTACAGGTACTAATATCAATTTCTTTAAAAAGTAGTCTGTACTTTTTGTCTCTAGTTTCCCACTCTATCAGGCAGAGTGCTAAGAGCTGGGACTATAATGGTGGACATGATAAACATAGTTCCTTCCTATAAAACTTATAATCTGAAGGTTTTTGAGAGTTCACTGATAATGTTCTCTCATAAGATCCCAGTAACGACCTAATTGATAAATGTAACATCATTCACTAATTCATTTCTATGTGGGTTCCTACAGGGAATAAAACTGGTTTATGAATAAGTAAATGTGATAGGATTTCATTGTGCATGTGTTCACTTTGAGATGTCTCGTAGACACGTAGCTGGAGCTAATGAGTAGCCTGGTAAAAATTTGAGCATGAAGATTGAGAGAATGTTTTGATTTGGATATAATGATTTGGGAATTATTCATTCATTCAGTATTTATCAAGCAGCTACTGTGTGTTGGGTACACAGGCATTAGGGGTATAGCAGGGAACAAATAGCCCCAAATCCCTACCATCATGGAACTTAGATTCTAAGTGGGGGGCAGGGTGAGAACAGCTACTTCATGTGATAAATAAGTAAAAAGATACATTATGTTGGATAGTAAAAAGTACCAAGCAGAAAAATAAAGCCAAGGGATTAAAGTACCTGAGACGTATTTGACATTTTAGATAGGGGAGCCAGTGAAGGCTACACTAAGAAGGTGGTTTTAAGTAAAGACCGGAAGGAACTAAGGATGCTGAGCACATTTCAGACAAAGGGAACAGCTAGGGCAAAGGCTCTGATATAGAAATATGCCTGGCATGTGTAAGGAATACCATAGGAGGCCAGTGTGACTGGGGCAGAGTCAATGAGGGAGAGAGTAGTGATCATGAATTCAGAGTGCTACTGGATGTATGCACAACTTTTTAGGTCTTAGTGAGGACTTAGGCTTCTGGAGGGTTTCAAATAGAACAGTGTTGTGCTTTAACTTGCGTTTGAAAAGATCACTCTGGTGGTGGTATGGGGAACAGACTTCAGGGGATTGAAGTGAAGAAAGAAGATGAGTTAGGAGGCTACTGCAATAATCCAAGAGAGAGAAGATAGTGTTTGGACCAGGATGGTGGCAACAAGAGTGGTTCTGAAGGTTGGATTCTGGATATATTTTGAAGTTTTTTCACCCGAGCAACTCAGAAGAATAGCTCAAAGAATAACGAAAGAATTTGTTACCTTGAACAAAAACGGGGGAAGACTGCAAGAGGAGTATGTTTGCTGGATGGGGTGAGGGCGAGATTGTCAGGAGCTCAGTTTTGGACATGCTAATTTTGAGCTAGAGATGTCAAGTAGTCAAGTGGATATATGGATCTAGGATTCAGAGGAGAGGTCCAGTTGGAGATATATGTTTGGGAGTCATTATCATACGGATGGCATTTAAATCATGGCATGGGATGAGTTCACCTAGGCTATGAATGTAGACAGAAATGAGAAGATGTCCAAGGATGAACACTGCAGAAAAAGTAGAAGGAAAACCAGATAAGGGAAGTACCCTGCAATCCAAGTTTAAAAAAAAGAAAGAGAAAAGAATGAATAGCTGGGTAAATTCTGCTGATAAGTAAGATGAGAACTTTGAAATGACCATTGGAACTAATATTGTGGAGGTGACTGAAGCTTGGTAAGAATCCTTTTGTGGAATGATAAGGGCAAAAACCTGATCAGATCAGGTTTAAGAGAGTGTATACAGAGGGAGATTAGACACAGTAAGTATAGACAATTTTTTCCAAGGAGTTGCTATAATTAAAGGAAAGATGAATGGATGATAGCCGGAGAGGTAGATGGAGTCAAGAGAAATGTTTTTGTTTTTTTAAGATAGGAAAAATAACAGCATGTTTACATGCTAAAATAAATAATCCAGTAGAGAAAGAAAAGCCTATGATGCATGACAGTGAGAATTAATAGAGCAATGTCCTTGAATAGGCAAAAAGGAATGGAATCTTGTGCATGTGTAGAGGGATTGATCTAAGCTAGAATCATAGATAATCATTCCAGAGTAACAAGAGAGAAGTAGAGAATGTAGGCACAGATACAGGCAGGTGCATAGATGTGACAGTGGGAGTATTTGGAAGTTACCCAATTGCTTCAGTTTTCTCATTTAATCAGTTGAAAGTAAAGATGGGAGAGGAGATGTTGATATTCAAGGACAAGTATGAAATAGTGGCCTTAGAAGGTATGGTAAAAAAATGAACCAGGAAAATAGAGTGTAATTGCTGGCACATGAAGGACCCACTTGAAGTTAACGATCAATAATGTAAAATGAGACAGGGCATCATGGTTGGATGTTTTTCCCTCCAGATTCATTTAGCTGCATAGGTTGAGTTAAAATACAGTGTATTAATAGAAAATAGGATGTATAGTAAGGCCAAGAGATCAGGAGACAATCACCATTGAAAAAAGGGTTTATTACTCATAATTCCCGAGAGGAGGGAGCACACGATGCCACAGGGGGCCACATGGAGAAGCACTGGGTTTGGCCACCAGGAAGGGGTGGGGGGGACTGTGGGCAGGAGGAATCTTTATTGTGGTTTGGTGGGAAGGAACAGGTGAGGCAGGGTAAGCAGGTTTAGGATTGGCTAGTTTGAACAATTTCAGTGGGTTCTCGGGCATAGGGGCCACTCCTGGTTATCTGCTACCTGGCTGTAGGGTGATTCGGGAAGGTGAATAGTGGCCCAGAGTGTGAGAGCCCAATAAGGGAGGTGGTCGGGGGTGTGGACTCTGGATCACTTGGTGTATATTGGAAAATCATGCCTCCCCCCGTGGGGGGAGGGGACACAAGGGAAGCAGGAAGCCAAGGCATGGTGACTCGGGCATATCAGGTTGTCCAGAATAAGGCATGTCCAGCCTATGCATGTAGGGCAGACGTTAAAGCATCAAGTTTACAGAGGCTAGAAACATGGGTAATACACATGTTCAGGCTTAAAGTAAGAAGATAATTGGAATTAATCAAGGGTTTAGTTTTGCCAGCAAGTACAGTGAATTTAAAGATGGAAAAGGGAGGTGAGAGTATAAATGAGGAGTGATTATAATGTTTAACTATGGATTATGTTCAGTAACCTTAAGCTCAAGAGAGGAGATTGCATAAGAGGGGTGGGTAAGGAAGTAAAATGTAGAATCAAGAGCTCGAAGGTCTTAATAGAGTTGAAGGATGGTTGAAGTTGGGGTTTAAGAGGGTGTATAAGCTGGAAAAATAGGAAGTGATGGTTGACCTTGCTAAGGATAAGGTCAAATGTGTGACCATGGAAATAAGTAGCTGACGTAGCAAGGAGGACCAGATCATTTATGTGAGAAAACTTCAAGGAGCTGAGAGGCCATAGTGTTAGAAGGATTACCTTCATGCTCGTTGAAATACTCAGGAATTATGCCAGGAGTAGTATTGCAGAGAGAATCAGTAATTCAGGGTATAAAATCTTCAGGGGGTGGAAGAAAGGAGGTAGTGGTGATGATCATGGACTGTGATAAGGAAGTGGAATATAAGTAGTCATTGAAACCGTGGATTTTGTTAAATTTACTCGGGAATAGTGTATATAGTGAGAAAACAGATAATTGAGGTTTGAGCCTAAGTGTAATCTTCAAATAAAAGAAAAAGAGAATGGGAGGACTGGATTTTTGTAAGGATAGTAGGACAAAATGTCAAGGAGAAAGAAGATAAGAGTTGAAGGTGATGGTAAAAGCGTGATTCAATTGATGAATTGTGGATTCTGGGTTAAATAAAGAAAGAAGAGAAACCTAAAAGGTCCTGAATAATTGGTAGAAAATGGAAAGATCTGTGATTAGAGGTCGCAAGGAGGTTGAAGAATAGGAGACGGTGGTGTCCCAGAAGCCAATTTGAGAAGTCAATTTTAAGAAGGGGTAATGGTCAACTGTCAGATGCTACAAAGATAAGTACTGAAAAGAGTCCCTTGGATCTGACAATTTGGAGGACTAGGTGATTTTAATGAAAGTGGTCTCTATGCAGTAGGAGAGGAGTGGATGGAACTAGATTGTACTGAATTATGGAACAAATAAGAAGAGTAAGGAAGTAGACAGCATTATTGACTCATATTGTGAAAGGAAGGAGAGATATAGTAATAGATAAAGGAAGATGTAGCTAAAGGAAGGATTTCCAAGTTGAGGGGATGAGTGGAGTATAATTATATGCTCAAGAGAAAAAGATAGAAATGAGATGTAGGAGACAGGGAATTATTGATGGAGAAGAGTCCCTGAGAAAGTAGTAAGAGACAGGTTTCAGACTGTCTTCCTGTCTACCCTTAGAGCTAGGAAGATTAGCCTTAGAGAAGAATGGCAGCTCTTTTGGTGAAAAAGGAAGAAAGAAATAAGGATGGATTTAGATGAGTTTTTAGGATATGGAAGAAGAATATAATGAAGGTGGAGAAATAATTTAAGGAGTTTCTACCTGATTCATCCTTTTTATTTTCTTAGTGATGTTGGAGGTAAAGTCCTTTAAAGACTAAAGGAGGAAGGATAGGGTAGCATTCTTAAAAAGAATTTAAATTTGAAATAACGCATGAATGGAACTCACTCATTTATTTTAGAAATACTTATTTAATGCCCACAATATACTGGGCACTGTCCTGAGTGCTAGGGATAGAGCCATGAACAAGGCAAAATTCTGGCCCTAAAGATGCTTACATTCTAGTAGAGGAGTGGACAACGACAAAATGTCAAGTAGTAGTAAATGCTGTGAAGAAAAATAAAGTGTGAAAAGTGGATTGATTTTTGTCATTTAAAAATATTTTATTCCTGTCTGATCTTTTATGATTTGAAAAGTAAAAGTATTGTTAAAAATATTTTCTTTGGAAACATATTTCTTTTGTGTAATCTAAGGGAAGATCATCTTCGTGTTATAGAAGTCCACAGTACAATCAAACTACTAAAATGAGTAAATGTTAAGGAAGGTTTTTGTTTTAAGGAATTTACAGAGTAGATCCAAAAGTGAAATTATATTTTTTCTGCTTGATTCAAACATTTTGATTATAACTTCTCTTCTTATTAAAAATTATTATGTAATTGTTCAGGCAAGAGCATGGTATTCTTTCCTAGGTTTTATAAGTCAAGCTTCAATCTGCCTGTGTAACTGCACCCTACACTTGTTTGTGCTTGCTGTGTGCCAGGCACTTCCTAACCGTAACATATAAATTAATTCACCAAATCCTTATAATAACCTATGGGCAGGTACTATTATTATCCTCATCTTACACATAAGGAAACTGAGACCCAGAGAAATCAGTGTGGACTTTGGATCTGACTGCCAGGGTTCAAATTTCAACACTTGTGGGAAGGTTTCCCTCTCAGCCTCTTGATTTTATGTAAAATAATATTCATAGCAACCTCTTAGAATTGTGTTGAGGAAAAAGTGACATAATGCATGGAAATATTCTAGAACTATGCTTACATAATAATCGCTCTAAAGTAGCGATTATTATTTCTTGTTTATATGTTTAGATTGTTTCCATGTTTCTGAATGAAAGTCTGCTTTTTTATTATTAGTTAATTTTTCTTCAGTCGTGGATCCTCTGTATTATGTTTTCTTTTCCTGATATAGGAATGCTGTCTCACAGCCAAGGAAGTCCATTAGCGTCACTGGTCCAGTAAAAGGAGCCCAAACAAAAGGATATTTTGGTGCAAACCAAACCAGAATGGCTATGTCAAAAACCATGATTGTTCTACCTGACATAAAAACAGTAGAAAAAGCGAGTGTTTCTACCACAAGGACAGTCACACAGGTAATATTCTTTAAAATTCTGAGTTTATTTGAAAATGACACCATGCAGAACTTGATGGAAATATTAAAGGCAGAAAATATGCTGCTTTGAAATAATCATTCACTTCTAATATTGATATATTGATTTTGTTAGAGTCTTTACCACATGACATATAACATATAACAGCATAATACTAGCAATTGGCTCCTGTAATTCACTATTGGTAATAAGAATATTTGAGTGGAATGAGGAAAGTCTACTCAGGACCTTAAGAACTAGTTGGTTATGATATTAATTATAGCTAATCCAGGTATAGTAGATAGTATAGCTGTCATCCACTCTTCTTTGCAATGTACTGTAGAAAATATCATACAATGAATTGTCATAAAATTGGTAATTAAGGACTGACTTTTTAAAATTTTTAATCAAAAAATAACATATATACAGAAAAGTATATACTATATCAATCTGAATGGGCTAGGCAATGATTTTTTAGATATGACACCAAAAACACAGTCCATTAAAGATAAAATTGGTAAACTGGACTTCATCAAAATTAAAACTTCTGGTCTTTGAAAGACACTGTTAACAGAATGGAAAGAAAAACCATACAAGGGGAAAAATCAATCACAAAGCATATCTGATAAAGTACTTTTATCCAAAATATATAAACAACCCTCAAAACAATATTAAGACAAGCTAATTTTAAAAATGAGTGAAACTTTTGAACAAACACTTCGCCAAAGTACATATACAGATAGCAAATGAGGACCAAAAGATGATCAGCATTAGTCATGAGGGAAATGCAAATTAAAACCATGGGATACTGCTGCACACCTATTAGAATCACTAAAATTAAAAGACTGACCATACCAAATGTTGACAAGTATGTGGAGGAAATAGAACTCTCATATACTGCTGGCAGGAATGGAAAATGAAAAACAATTTGGCAGTTTATTTAATGTTAAATATATAGCCACTATATCATCCCGCTGTTCCACTTCTAGGTATTTACCCAAGAGAAAAAAAAGTATATATTTATACAAAGACTAGTACATGAATGTTCATAGCAGCTTTATTTATAATAGCCAAAAATGGAAACAACTCTAATATAATTTTAATAAACAAATACTACATATTTGCATAGATATTACATTTACTGTTATCTTAGCTCAGGCTGCTATAACAAACTACTATAGACTAGGTGGCTTATAAACAAAGAAATTTATTTCTCACAGTTCTGGAGGTTGGAAGTCCAAGATTAGGCTGCCAGCATGGTCAGGTTCTGGTGAGGACCTTCTTCCAGGTTGCAGACTGCCAGCTTCTCATTGTATCCTCACATAGTGGTGATAGAGCTAGCTCTCTGGCCTCTTCTTGTAAGGCATTAATCCCATTCATGAGGGCTCCATCTTCATGACCTAATTATCTTTCAAATGTTCCACTTCTGAATACCATCTCATTGGGATTAGAATTAGGGTTCCAACATATAAATTTTGGGGGTACACAACCATTCAGTCCATAACAATCATATACATATTATATGCACAGTATATGCATTATGTACATATTATACATACATATATACAATGCACACATATTACATAGTATTAGCAATACTGTGAAAAAGGGATAATGCATCATGACCAAGTGGGGATAATGCATGCAAGGTTGTTCCAACACTTAAAAATCAATACTACTTGCCATATTAATAGACTGAAAAAAAAAAAGTGATCATCACAACAGATTAAAAAAAAGCATTTCAAAAAATTCAATGTCCATTCATGATTTAAAAAAAAAATTTTTTTAAACCTTTCAACTAACTTGAAAGAGAAAGGGTTTCCTCAGGGGCATTCTGAAAAACCTACAGCTAACATACTCAATGATGAAGACTGAAAGCTTTTCCTCTAAGATAAGGAGCAAGACAAGGAGGCCCACTTTCGCCATTTCTATTCAACATAGTAGTAGGCATTATAGCCAGAGCAGTTAGGCAAAAGGAAGAAATCAAATTCATCCAAAGTGGGAAGGAAAAATTAAAATTTTCTCAGTTCACAGATGATATGATCTTATTTGTAGAAAACCCTAAAGATTCCACATTAAAAAAAAAAAACAACTAATAAACAAATTCAGCAAAGTTATAGGATAGAAAATTGACAAATAAAAATCTGTTGTGTTTCTATACACTAGCAATGAACAATTCAAAAAGAAAATTAAGAAAATGATTTCCATTTACAATAGAATCAAAAAAGAATAAAATACTTAGGCAAAAACTTAACTGAGGATGTGAAAGACTTGTACACTGATGACTACAAAAATTGCTGAAAGAAATGAAAGAAGACAACAATAAATGGGAAAACATCCCTTGTTCGTGGATCGGAAGACTTAATATTGTTAAGATGTCAATACTACCCAAAGCAATCCACGGATTCAATGCAATCCCTATCAAAATCCCAATGACATTTTTGCAGAAGTAAAAAAATCCGTCCTAAAATTCATTTGGAATATCAAGGGACCCCAAATAGCTAAAACAACCTTGAAAAAGAAGAACAAAGTTGGAGGTCTCACACTTCCTGATTTCAAAACTCACTACAAAGCTGCTGTAATCAACACAGGGTAGCCCTGGCATAAAGGCAGACATATAGACCAATGAAATAGAATAGTGAGCCAAGAAATAAACCCTCACGTATATGGTCAAATGATTTTCAACAAGGATGCCAAGACTGTGCAATGGGGAAAGGACAGTCTTTTCTTTCTTTTGTTTTTTGCTGAGGAAGAGTCGCCCTGAGCTAACATCTGTGCCAATCCTCCTCTATTTTGTATGTGGGCCACCATCACAGCATGGCTTGACGAGTGGTGTGTAGGTCCACATCCGGGATCCAAAACTGTGAACCCCAGGCTGCCAAAGCAGAGCACACTGAACTTAACCACTAGGCCATGGAGCTGGCCCTGGGATGGTCTTTTCAACAAAGATGTTGGGAAAACTGGATATCTACATGCAAAAAAGAATGAAGTAGGACTCTTACCTTACACTATATAAAAAATAACCCAAAACGTATCAAAGCCCTAAAGGTAAGAGCTAAAACTGTAAAACTCTTAGACAAAAACATAAGGGAAGAACTTTTTGACATTGGATTTGGCAATGATTTCTTAGCTATGACACGAAAAGCACATACAATAAAAGAAAAAAATAGATATATTGGACCACATAAAACATTAGAAACTTCTGTGTTTCAAGGGGCACAACAACAGAGTGAAAGGCAACCCATAGGATGAAGAAAAAAATTTTTGAAAATTGTGTGTCTGATAAGGGGTTAGTATCCAGAACATACAAAGAACTCCTGTAACTCAACAACTGACAAACGGCTCAATTAAAAAATGGACAAAGGACTCAAACAGGTATTTTTCCAAAGAAGATATACAAATGGCCAGCAGCACATGAAAAAAATGCTCAACATAGCTAATCATTTGGGAAGTGCAGATCAGAACCACAATGAGATACCACCTCACACCCATTAGGTTGGCTACTATAAAAAAAAAAAACCAACAGCAACAGACTATATAGTGGTGAGGATATAGAGAAATTGGAACCTTTGTGTACTGTCAGTAAGAATGTAAAATGGTGTAGCCACTATGGAAAACAGTACTGTGGTTCCTCAAAAAATTAAAAGTAGAATTACCATATATTCTACTTCTTGGTCTATACCCAAAAGAATTGAAAGCAGAGACTTGAACAGATATTTCTTTGTACACTCATTTTCATAGCAGCATTATTCACAATAGCTAAAAGGTGGAAGCAAGCCAAGTTTCCATCAACAGATGAATGAAACAAAATGTGGCATATATATACAATGGAATATTTTTCAGCTTTAAAAAGGAAAAAAATACTGACACATGCTACAATATAGATGAGCCTTGAAGATATACTAAGTGAAATAAGCCAGTCACAAAAGGACAAATACTGTATGATTCCACTTGGGATGGGATACCTAGAATAGTCAAATTCATAGAGACAGAAAGTAGAATGGTGGTTACGAGGGAAGGGAGTAAAGGGGAGTTATTGTTTAATGAGTACAAAGTTTCAGTTTTGCAAGATGAGAAGAGTTCTGGAGATGGATGGAGGTGATGGTTGCACGACAATGTGAAAGTACCTAATGTCACTGAATACTTAAAAATGGTTAAGATGATGAATTTTATGTTATATGCATTTTACCACAGTTTTAAAAAATAGATCAACTTTTCCAGCATGGTGATGTGAAGAGCTCCAATGACCCACTCCACAGTGAAACTGGTAAAAATTATTTTTAGAAAACAACTATTTATTGCCTCAGGAAATGGACCTAAGGTGAGGGCCTGTGGTATTTGGGCCAAGATCACTCCCTCCTTTCCCCCTCCCAGCTTAGCAAGGCAGACACCCAGCTCTAGACTGCTCGCAGCCAAGAACGCAGGGCTCCCTCTCCCTTCAGCTCACATGACAGAGGACTTTCTTTTGCAGAAGTAGGACTGCAGTGTTTCTCATCCTGCTCCCAAATGCTTGCTGCTGAGGCTAAGTCCCAGGTAAGCCTGATTGAGAGGTGTGGACTCCTTTCTTCTGCCTAAACCCCACTGATGAGCTCTTGGGTGTGGCATACTGAGAATACTGGGGCCTTCCCCTGATTTGTGAGGTCATGGTTCAATGTCACAAGAAGCAAACTGAGAAAATCTCAGGCTCCTGCCCCAGCACCTCCATGGAGCACTCAACACCTAGAGTGAGGATGTCACTCATAGAGAAGTTTACCATTGTCTCTACTCCCAGCTCCAGAGACCTAGTGCAGAGATTTTATCTGGGGAGAGAAGCAAGCTGTAAAACAGCTCCTAATATCTTCTAAAAGGAACCAGCTTCATTTGCAACAGAGCATGGAGAAGTTTAAACCCAAGAGTTTCCTCAAAAACAGTGTAGGGGACCGGCCCCATGGCTTAGCGGTTAAGTGCGCGCGCTCCGCTACTGGCGACCAGGCTTCCGATCCCGGGCGCGCGCCAATGCACTG